TTATTTCATTTCGAGGGTGGGGCAGGGGGAGGGAGAAACACAGCCTTTCCTTTCTTTAGCATTTAAAACAAAAAAAACCTCGCATCTAGCAAGGATAACTTATTAAAAATAAATAAAAGAACACAATGGCCAGCATTCTGATTTGATTTATCGTACTAATATGCGGCATGTTGCTCACCCCTTTCCACAGGAAGTATAAAACACCCTCTGAAACAACCCACCGCCGATTATATTCATCGCTCCTTCACCCTCACTCCAAGCAGCACGGGTGAACGGGCACTTCTTTCACATTTCACGAAACCCTGAACAAACACTCGCCCGGTGTTAAAAGAGAGCGCCTGTAAACGACATACCAAACCGCATGCCTCGCCACACAGGAGGGGTGACGTTACCTATTCGCGAAAAAATACTCCGGCAGTGGGGGGTGGGGGGTTGAGTGGCTAAAAGGGGGCCCTGGTGGGTGCACAGGGATCGTTGAAGCCCGTCGGGGGTCCATTTGTCAATCTTTAATGTTGTCAGTTTGCTAAAAAAAAAACGTTTAAATATGTACGAGTGTACGCACGGATCGCGGGTTTGAAATGCAGTTATTGCATGCAGCAGTGCGTTGACTGCTTAATTTGAATAATAATAATAATGATAATACGTGTTCCTTTGATATTGTATTGTTAATGTTAATCCTAAAAGTGAAAATCGAAGCTTTGGCCAATTTCCCTGAACATGCCAATCAGCCCAACATCTCATCGACAGTGACATTAAATAATATTATTAATTGTCTTAAATTAGCCTCTGTCTTTATGTATGCAGTGGTGGTATTAGTAGTGGTGGTAGTGCAGTGGTAAATGCACTACACTATGATCTCATTAACCTCAGTTTGATTCGGGCTCATGGCGAACATCAGCATCGAGTGATATCTGAACAGGTTCTGCACCACCAGTACACCCTTCACGAACTCTCGCTGACCAACACGGCAAGGCATGGGAAACAAAAATAAAGGCCCTCGATCAACGTGGCACGGGAAGGTCTTCATCCAAAAGATCGGCAGGCAGTGTGACGTATTATTGTTTTATTACATAAGCATGGGCGGCAGTGGCACAGTGGTCAGCGCACCTCCAACGAGCACAGTTGGCTACGTACGGTGCGAAAGAAGTTCAACGTGTACACATACATTGCACTACGAACCCGGTGGCGTGACGTTGACTCCCAAGTCACAGCGAACGTCAGTGGCGATCGGTATCGGAAACCTATCCGGGGCATGCCCGTATCTTGACGCAGGAGTAAAATGAATATCTCTCGGAAGTATATAAAGACAAACAACACTCTCTCCTGAAGCCCTCTCGTGGCTAGCAGACCTCGACATTGGCATTTAGCTTCTGAACGGATTGCCACTGGCATGGAATGGAACACGGCCAATGGGGATGCAAAGGCGACCGGAACGGTGCTTGCCACACTGCTCCATTGCGAGCCGTAATAAAAGTTGCACCGCTTGCCCCAGGAGTCTACAAAGGCTACGTGGGGGGATATTTGTCTACGCGCGTATACACGTTTTCATGTAAATATATGGACGTGTGAACGCCAATGTAGAGTTGCATGCATTATTGATGTAGAATATTGTAGCTGGAGGCTCTATCGCTGCCTTATTCTAGGGAGCACCCGGAAAGAGAACCCCACGGCTGCCCCTGAAGCTGACAATCATTCTGGTTTGACTTGGCTGCTTTGAGTAATTAAAAAGCAATCGGTAGAAAAAAAATCCTCAATAAAATCAAGCTCTGATTCATCACATCTACCCCCCCCCCACCACGATGCAATTGCGTTCCACATTACAACCCCAATTGCTTTTTCAGCACTGCCCACCGCCACCACTGCCACCGCCACAAACCTGCTTAGTGGAAATCCTATTTTGTAGATCATCTCCTCGTTTATATATAAATTTTTATCCACTGGCTCACGCAATTGCCCGCCCCACCCCCACCCACCCCACCCACTCTACCACACCTCCCCTCCTCCCCCCACATCCGTACCACCTCCTCCGCCCCCTTCACCTTATTCCCGTCCAACGGTCCCATCCCTCCGTGGCTCAAACAACTTGCTCGCCCATTTATTTAATTATTAATCGGCCCTCTCCCGATTGCACTCAGGGTTGCTTGACCTGGAATAATCCCGTCCCAATGCGCTGGAGTGACTTGAGTGGCGAGACAAGGCAGCACGGGGTCGCCGGGTCACCAACAAAGGGATGCTATACAAATGATTATTGCACACATCCATTAATCATTATAAAGGGCACGCCGGCTGTGGGGTCAGTCCCAATGCAGAAACACATCTGTGTGTGTGTGTGCCTCGTTGTATATGGACACTCATTTTATTTGTGTATGTGTGTGTGTGTGTTCATCGTGGACGCGTAAATAGTTTATGTTAGCGGTAGCGAATTCGCCATGGATGCCACACGGTGCCGTGACTTTGTTGACCTGGGTTCCATTTCCCAGCCGCGATGCAGCGCACGAGTGGCGGATGGAATCTGAAGCTGGTCCCGCACCTCCAACAGATCGATTCGTACGGTGTACGAACCGGTGCCTCGTGCTTGGCCGTCATTGTTGGCACTTGGGCGACTTGACCAGCACGATGCTGACCACACCAGCCACTCTTTAGCAAATTCCGGCATTACTAGGAGCTCGCTAAGAGTGCTTGACCCAGCAATTGTCTATGAAACGAAATGAGGTCTTAAATTGGCATAAATTGCTAAAAACCAATAATTGCTCATTTATGGCTTTTCAGAACATCAAAGCAGATAACTCAGTGGCAGCCTTCACAGAGAAAACAGCTCCTCTGTCAACTCACAAGCGGACTCTGTATAAGAGGTAGGCGCCAAAGAAGTGCACAGGAGTCCTGTGCAAATCATACCACGTGTCAAAACTGGCATACGCTGCTGAAACATGGTCTCTATGAATGAGGCGGAAACGTGAATTTTTCTAAGCGTGGTGGTAACAACGAGACTGTACAGGATGACAGAGAGAGAGAGAGAGACGCACACACACGAGGGACATTGCAGGAGACAGAGAACCGCTCTCAAGGGGAGAGCAGGCGAGGCTAAAGTGGTTTGGTCACTTGAGGTGGATGGAGGAAACCGATTGAACCAAGATGGTCTTTTGAGACAGGGAAGAAGACCAAGAGACAAAGAAAAACCAAAGTAAAAAAATATGGTGTCGCAGTGGCCTTAGAAAAGAGAGGACAGGCCTGGGAAGTGATGGAGGCACACAGATGGTATGGCAAATGCCTGAGCACAGAGTCCGATGATGATGATTTTAAACGGCGAGAAGCTGAATTGATTCTCAAGAAATGTAGTTGTCAATCACAACTTCTTCCACTGAAGATTGCAGGGCTTGCTCTCTTTGTCCAATTTATATATCGTTTTCCTGTGCTAAAATAAATAAATAACTGGTGCATAATAAAAGAGTGCTGCGATTTCATTCCATCCTCAAGCAAGTCGACAAACAGTTCCCGGTGCAATGGGATTGACCAGTGACCCGACTGCATGTGTGTAAATATCTTCATGAATGAATAATAATAATAATTACACTTAAATTAATATATACATAAATGAAAGTGCCAACACAGAATGAATATTAAAAAAAAAATTCCATGCATTTCACACGCATATATATATTTATATAAAAATATATATGCGTGTGAAAAATAAATATCTCAAGAGCCTATAATAAATAGTTATAGATGTGATGCAATCCTTACTCGTGGGTACTTTTTTTCTGCCGGCATAAATACGAACGTCTTTTGTAATCCTGCAAACTGATAATGAGTAAAAGAAATCGTCTAGAATCCGCTAATTTTAAAATACTTTGCTGCGCAAGTGCTTGCGCTCGACTTGTCACCCATCGAGAAAAATGAATCTACACTTTGTAGCCCTGCTTAAAAAAAAACATGAATGAATCTGGCCTCGGATAAATCACAGCTCGGTATCCACTCTCACATCCTCTAAATGCATTGGTGGTGGTGGTGGTGGGGGGGAGTGTGGAAGTCAGAATGCACGAAACGGAGTTCGGGCTCCCAATCCCTGGGGCCCTCGAACACGCCCCCAACCACGGTTAGTGAAAGGAAAGTCTCAGGGTCCTAACGCTCTCATTGTTGTTCATCATCCTATCTGTCTCACCCACACGCGGTGTCCCCGGAGAGAGCCTTTCTGCTTGCCGTGTTGTCGCGTTAACCCCCGTCCTGCGCACACCGTCCCAGACACGGGAGGTTATCTCGCAGCGAAAGTGCCAATTGCCGCTGCACTTTTATTCAAGTCACGGACGACCGCCCAGCTCCGAAACCTACAAAAAAAAAACCGGGAAGCTCCGGGAGAAAAAGGCAATCGCACTCCCGCCCGAGACCCTGAATTGTTGATCAGCGGAGTTTTAATTGTTTTGGGGGAGGGGGGGCACGCACACGCGCGTATCATTGATAGCATGGCAGAAATGTTTTTCCGCTAAAGGTTCCATTAATGAGTAAAAACAAACTCCTTCGTTTAATTCCTTGGATAAATAGAAAGAATCGGGTCCAGGTTGTTGCGTAACGAAAACGTTAACAAAGCGACTGATTTATTAAGCATTAATAGTTAATGCCGTCTGCCAGAATACAATATAACAAGAAATGCACAAGACAAAGCGAGTTTCTCGTGTGCTTTAATGTGTGTGGCATGTATAATGATAGAAGGAGCTGCATTATTTAAAAGTTTCACAAGGTGCATTCAAAAAGTCGTAATTGCGCATTACATCACTTAGCCGAATGTGTGCATGAACACTGTCCTATATATTGCATGTACTATGCGAATGTGTGCATGAACACTGTCCTATATATTGCATGTACGATGCGAATGTGTGCATGAACACTGTCCTATATATTGCATGTACCATGCGAATGTGTGCATGAACACTGTCCTATATATTGCATGTACCATGCGAATGCGTGCATGAACACTGTCCTATATATTGCATGTACTATGCGAATGTGTGCATGAACACTGTCCTATATATTGCATGTATTATGCGAATGTGTGCATGAACACTGTCCTATATATTGCATGTAATATGCGAATGTGTGCATGAACACTGTCCTATATATTGCATGTACCATGCGAATGTGTGCATGGACAGTCCTATATATTGCATGTTACTATGCGAATCCGCATTTGGAATGTACAATTGCTGAAGCGTCTACGTTAATAATAATCACTTGTGTTACCTCTTGATTACATTGAACGAGGAATAAACATGTGGAGCCTTTTTAACTCGAGGAGGAAAGTGTCTCTCCCAGATGTTTCTACGTCCTCAATGGACATTTACGAGCTCAATAGTAGTATTTGTAGGAAGACCTCACTGAGACTCATGACTCCAGGAGGGTCCTTGCCATGAGATGTTTGGCCAAGCAGCTCCTAAGAGTCTGATTTCATGTGGGAGAAACCCAGAGAACCCTGAGAGAAAGCCCGCTCCGTGCTGTATTTGAGGGGGTCACACTCAGCACTGCCACGACAGACCCACGGCACGCTCTGGCCATCACCAATGAACGCACTAACCAGGCTAAAAAAAATCTGCTTAGCTTGAGAGATCATGAAATCAGAATATTCAGGACGATGTAAGTGTAGCCATGTACAAATGTCACGTTCCATATCATTCAATAAAAAGGGATATTAGCTGTCATCCTATGCAATGAAACAAATTGGAACATTCTCGCATCTTACTTTGAATTTGTAGATTAATTGTCAAGAGCTGGAATGCTGGTGCCATTTTTATACGCACATAATTTAGGGTATAAATGCGTGGATTCATCAATTCAATTGATACTCATGATACAGGTAATAAAAAAATCAGCACGGGTATGTGTCATATTGATTTACTTAAGAAAATCCCTACAGCCACTAGAGGCGCTACCATTCACCACATTGTAAACAAAAATAAGTTATCAGATTATATGGTGACTCCGAACAGTGACAATTTCAAAGTATTGTATGCAGTGCTTTCCAAAATTTCGAACATTATGTTTATTCCATAAGATTCTCCCTGTTAAGGATGTTGTTTTGCTGTTTAAATATGGCTCGCAACTTGTCCAACTTTCTAGATAAAATGTTTTTTTTTTTAACGCAAATATATATTCACCAGCTGGGTTTCAAAGCAAACTGCTCGACTTGAAACCGTGTGTGTACATTATTGAAAGTGAACTTTTTCTGCATTTCTTCCCCAGAGTAAGTCACGGTTCACATTGTAGAACAAAGGAGATGGAGGGACCCTCTGCACCGCAGCTCATTACCATCACACAAAGGTTTGTGCACACAACGCTTAACCCTTCCCCATGTCATGCAACGAAACAGCGATTATATGTAACGCCATCCTCCGCCTGCTCGCTAATGTAAAACATGCGTACCGTGGTATATTAAAAAAAAACAGTGACATTTAACCCGGGCAGATATAATGACACCAAAACCTGCCTGCTAATTTACGTTCCGAGATTATGAAAGCGAGGATATTAACAAAAAGAATTGCACCAGCGACAAGCGGTGGCATAGAATTAGCGCCACCGGTGAAAAGGTTAATTATCGTCAATACCGTGCGAGTAAGGTCAACCCAATTGCGGATAGACGAGCTCCATTATCATGTTAACACGAGATCTATCCCGACGGACAATGGACCTGCACCCACTTCTCTTACCTGGGCGCATTAATTACACGACGTGGTTCAAATGCTGCGGACTTCACCAGCCGGGCAGTGAGTTGAGTGGGCAGCCCATTCGAACACAAACTTTAGTATTATTATTTATTATATATATCAGGCTTCCATTACTTTAATATTGTATCATGCAGGCAGGGTTGGAACAGATAAGTATCTTTATGCACACAGCAAGTCATGTTGTATTACCTCCAGGGAGGGAACCATATATTTGCTGTGCGAAGGCAGAATGGCCACTCGACTTATGTAAGGTTTCTATTTATTTATTCCTTGTCGCTTGGCTAAGTTTGGCGCTGTTTTGAACGTGGAAGGTCTGCTGAATTCAAAGCGTCATCTTCGGCATCAATACTACTTCTCTGAATAGTGCTTGCTAATTCAAAAATAGTTTGGTCCGACGTTTTTACCTATCCTTGACATCAGAAAATCTGAAGCCCCCAAAAGACGTGTGGATTAAATATGAACAAGAAGACTGCTGCACATTTCCTTGACTTGCTTAATATTTGGCTTGTCTGATGTGAACAATCTTCATTGGAAATATTACTTTTAAGAGTGGATATGCTTTGGTTAATTTCACGTGTAAATATATTGAACATTTTTTTTGTTGGCATGTCATGAAATAAAGTATCCCTTTGGAATGCTCAAAGAGCGGTGCATCACCGTGTGTGAGACTGAGTGACCTGTAGAAGAAGGTATCACAGAACTACTTCTGAGATCCCTTCCAGAGGCCTCTTACCCATGCTCTCAGGGAGCGCTGCACTTTTTCCACCTGCCCACTCGGGAAATGTTCGCCACGTGGCAATCGAGTCGACGCTTTTATTTCTCGGAGCTACATACCCAGCCAAAATTAAGTGAAAAGCCAAATTTAACGTGACAGTTTTATGTTGTGTGCGCTCATTGTTGACCCGTGCGCGAGTCCATCAAGTCACTCTTACTTGGGAACCCAGTTTAATCAGGGGCGGCTGAAACCGCTGTTGAACGCAGGCCTCAGTGGTGCCGGCTGACCCCGCGCCCAGCACCCACGAGCCATCCTAACACCTCGACCTTGCTTCGGCTTAAGGGAATTACGCCACGCGTGTGCGTGCACAGTGATTTGCTTGCATGTTCGCAGTGGTAAGATTAATGGGTTCTTCATTGGAGGCCGCGACGAGGTTACCTAATCCCAACCCGTAGGTTATGCATGCTTACTGTGACCCAAAAAAAAAAACCTGGATTTTAAATACCGCTTACCGTATTTGCTTACTCATAAACAAAATAAAAAATACGATCTAATTAAAACGATCGTATGTAAATTGTAACATTGAGCCTACGACATGAAGGCATACATTCACCGATTCACGGGACCATTTTATGTATGTTTCTTGAACTTCTTTCGTACCATACACAGTCAACCTTGCTGACACAGTTTTGGCAAAATCGGCGGTCAAACTTTCGCACGCTGTAACGACGAGCGCGCTATGCCCTCGCAGTGGCGGAGCCGCGGCTGGGTAATGAACGGAGGTGAGTGACTCAAACACAGTCGCGTGCGCCCACGTGCAGCGGCGTTGAAAACCGTGCCAATTGTTAACTAGCTCCACGTGGCGGGCATCGGTAATTAATAATAAGTGAATATTTTCCGCGAGCCTCGTAAAATATACCAAAACGCACATCTTGTAAATTGTGTGCTTTTAATTTAAAACCACGCAAACATTTAAAGCATATCTGGAAGAAATTAAAATGCTAATGCGGTCTCACTATCGACCAAAAGTAAAAATGTCGAGGATTACGATGGAATACGTAATGCAGGCAAAAACATATAACGTGGTAAGCGAATTAGACTCCTTCGCAACAAACAGTGCAATGTGATTTCGAGGCAGCAGAGACGAGTACAATATTTATTTCTGACATCAACTTTATCCTGTAGTGAATAACACTTTGCAGCCTTTATCGATCCACTGCTGGATGAAGGCCTCCTCCACATGCCGTGTTGCTCATGGGGATTGTTGGACCAGAGTTGCACCTCCCATGAGCACGGTCGCTGCGAAAGAAGTTCAACATGCATACTTCACTATGTTGCTTAAATGTGAGTTGGTGAGGGGTGGAAGTACACGATGGTTGGGGAGGGGGGCATGACAAGTGGCAAATATTATTCGCCACTGACGTTAGCCAAGGCCAGGAATTCAACTCATATGGCGAGGTGCTCGGCGCAGTGCTCTAACGTGCACTCCTCTACCAGTTCACTCGGTGGACATCTGTGACTACTGAGCATCTGTTGGAAAAAAAGAGCTTTATGGCTCATAGGATTCCTCCAGTGGAAATACATTTCCTGATTCTGAGGTGGGCGGGGGCCGTAGGGGGTCGAGCCCCCCCCCCCTCCCCGCTGAAGGTTTAGACCCCCTTCTGAATAGTCAACAATAACATTGGTTTTCTGTTTTATACATTGACTCTGTAGTGCCCCTCCCCACCGCCACGCCTCTTCAAACAATGACACCCGAGCGTGTATTGCACGCACTATGGCAAAATTACGCGCGCCTTTTCCTCGTCATGTTTACGTTTCCTTGCACCTTTTGTTCTCGTAAATTGCTTAGCGGATGCGTTTTCACGGCTACCTGCATGGGCACGATCGCGACTGCGCCATCGTCGCATGGTTGCGCGATGAAAAGAAGAATTTGCCTCCGTGCCAACGACGGCAAAGCTCAGATTGTTCTCCTCCTCCGCCTCCTTCTTCTTCTTGTTGGCGAAGTTTTCACGATTTCTAAGCCTGGCGGACGGATGTGGCGGCGCGCGCGACGAGCGACACCGAGGGCCACCGCTGCTTTCAATTCGCACGGCTCGTGCGTGGCAAACATAAAAAAAAACACACACAACAAACAAACGCCGCGCAAAGGATTAAGCAAAGCTGGCTCACCAACCGGGGCATCTGTGCTGTCTTGGTTCCAAGCTCACTGGCAGCACGGCTAAATGGAGTTGTTTTGACTCCGAATGTCCATGCTTCACAGACCAGGACATCCAGTCCAGTGCATTTGTTATAATGAGTACGATGTGATAATCATAATAATGTTAATAATAATTCGACCATTTATTTACCCAGGGAAAGCCTAACTTCGCCTCAAGATGCGTTTTGAAGAAGGTCCTTGCATTGGGGGTTTTGTCCCATTCCATGAATGAGTGTTTGGCTCCATGTGGGAGGTAAAAATGTAACAGCTTGCAAAAAACCCCACGCAAATGAAAGGGTCAAGCTCAGAGCTCGATGGTGATAAGATTCAGCAATCCATTACTGTTACTACCGCTTCACAGCCTAAGCCTACAACACATGGTATTCAACAAAATTCGAACCAGGTTTAAAGCCTGCATAGATTCAGGATGATTTGGTCATGAGCATTGTGAAGTTCACGAAGTGCATTTAGATTAAATTGTTGCCATTTTTTTGGTGTGACCAGCTTCTGTCCAGCTTAAGTTGCGTGTATGATATCGCATAATGAAACGTGGAAACAAAGGGATGTGTGTTAGAGTTCGTTAAGTGATTTGCAATTGGATGTGTCCACAGGCTAGAATGCACAAAGCTGTGGACCCATTAGCGCATCACACATTGTGTGATAATCACAAGGTTACTTTGTTCATGCTCTTATATAAATAGTATGCATCGGATAATGGAATTGGCGTGCATTCCAGTATTTTGATTAAAATTCACTCGGCATAAACATATTTTTTTCTTCAGCGAATACTTTTCGATCAATGATGCGTCCAAAGACTTTCAGAAATTATTGTACGTGTGTGCGTGCGTGCGTGTGTGTCGCCTCCACCCCCACAACTCCCAATCGGTGATGGGGCAGTTGTGGAGAGAGTGGAGAGTTTCCCATACCTGGGCAGTGTGCTTATGACTGGCTCCAGTTTAACAGCAGAGGTCTCACTCCGAATCAGTCAAGCGGCAATATATTTTCATCGGTTGCGTAACACTGTGTGGAAGCTACCTGGTCTGTCGCTCCGCACTAAGCTTCAGGTCTTCTCGGCCACGGTCATTCCCTCCCTTCTCTACGCTTGGGAAACGTGGACCCCCCTAATGGAACATCTTCGCCGGTTAGAAACATTTAGGCTGGCCTGCCTACGATCCATCCTGGGTTTAACCAGACTGGATTGTGTGAGGAGCTCACAAATCCTTGAAAGATCTGGGCAGGGTCCCATCGGTGAGCTCCTCCGGCAGGCAAGGCTACGATGGCTGGGTCATGTAGCCCGCATGCCCAGCCACCGCATGTCGAAACAGCTTTTGTTCGGCCGGATTGAGGGGGCTAAGCGGGCGCGGCACGGGCTAGAGAAGAGATGGAGTGATGTGGTACAGGAGGACGTGGAGCTGAGTGGACTTGCCGATGACTGGTACCAGCGGTGTCAAGATCGGCCTCTGTGGAGGAGGCTCGTGAAGGATGCTACTGGGCAGTAGGAGGTAGTCGCCCTCCAACAACAACGGAGGGCGGAGGAGCGACGCTCACAACAACGAGCTGAGCGCCGGGTGGCTAAAGCACAGCAGATTGGCACAGTAGGGGGCACAGGTGGTGCATCAGCCAGTCATCTCAGTCAGTCGACCCGTGGCACCTGGGTCTGCCCCGTGACCTCCTGCCAGCGGGCGTTCGACACTTCACGTGGCCTCAGGGTGCACATAGCCTGGCACAAGCGTCGTGGTGACGTCACCGCCACTTAGTGGCGAATGGCGGTTGTTGTTGTTGTTGTTGTTGTCGCCTTAAATTAGTACTTGGTGTGGTGTGTTAAAAAAATCAGCATCGGCGAGACAAAGGTTTGCCAGGCATAGTGCTGGCGCTACCATTCCCTCTTGTACCGCACTAACAACACTTGCTCGAACAGTCTGTATGTATGGCCATGTGGGAGATTTTGGTCTTGTGGCCTTCTTGAACAAACCCACAATTGAACTGCATAACTGGCTTTCCCTAGTACGCCATGTGTATAGATTGGCGAGGAGAATGAGAGCGTGGCCTCAGGGATTATGAGAAAACACTGTGAAGGGAAGGCGGTGAGCGATGATGTTAATTGACCCTAAGCCATCACAAATTTAAATTAGCTTGATTAGTCAGAAAAAAAAGTTGTAATCTATCGAGAGTCTTGTGAAATCACGCAAGCTGTTGAAATTGCAATTTGTTCATTTTCGCGCAATATTTCAAAGGATACATGAAAAAAAAAACATATGTTAATATGAATCACTTACAGCCCTTTGCCAATCCACGTCTGGGTGAAGGAATCACTACTCCATACAGAGCCACGGGAATTGTGGTAACGATACTTCAGCACGCTGGTCAGCGTGGTTTGATGCCAGCGGGGTAGCTAAGGGGGCAATGAGTGGATCAGATGTCACGTTCCACGAACCTCAGCTGCGGACAACAACATTGAACTCAGCTTGCTGGGCTCACAGTGCAGTGAAATAACGACTGGGCCACTGGGGATTAATGGGAAACATTGTACCCATTATTACGATTGTTATTCCACAGAATAAAGTTTTGCTGTCACTTGTTTGATTTCACAAAATTATATTTTTCCCACGAAGATCGAAAAAAATCTGAAGCAATACTAATCAACGCACTACTGCTCCCCCCCCCCCCCCCCCACAAATAAATGGTCGTAATGGGCCATGATTTATCCGCTGTTGGATCTACTCTGGAATTAATCGCTCCATCTCCTTGGTGGATATATACCGGAATGCATCCCTCCTTTGATGCCACTCTGTAATGAGTCTTGACCTTTCAGCGATACGTCTTGCCCCAAGGCCGGTTACTTTGATCCACAATCAATACCATGATATGTCATAGTACTGTTTCAAGTTGCATGTCAAGTGGTTTGTCTTGGGATAATAACTTTGTAAACGTGTCTGCTACCTGGTGCTGGAGAAGATGGGTAAGCGGAGAAGTGTGGATTTGGCAGGTGTGTTCTGAAGTTTAAAATTACTCTTTCACAGAATTATTTTTTTCCGATGGTGTGTTTTATATATATAAATAAAAACAATCTGACACTTGCCTTCAGCACATCGTTGTGCCTGATCGCTAATCCCACTGGGATTCTGTTGTGAGAAGCCTCTAAGGGAAGGGTGAACAGGGCATGATTCTGCTGGCTATGAGTCTCATATATAATGACAAGCGGCAAGCTGCGATGGTGATCTGCAAGCAATGAGCAATAGTAAACACGAGTTCATCTGTTTTCCTCTTTAAATTTGCAAACGTTAATCACGATGTCCGTGCGCGCGGCCATGGATAAATATTTACCTCAGAAACTTATTTTTTTTTCCTCTGGACACAAGATGTACAATCATCATTTTTACTTTGTTGTGTGTTCCTGAGGTATGCACTATGTACTTTCCCCATTGAAACATCTCATTCGATACCCTGAAAGCACAGTGGTCGGATTCATTTAATATAACATTGAACCACGTAACCCGATTTAATATTCTAAATACGATATCATACGATATCATTGCTACGGTTATAATAAAAATACAATTTTCCGCTGCTATTGATTTGTAATAAGAAAAAAGACGACCAATTAATACGTAAAGAGGATAACGAGCTACGTGTGAAACAAACACGAACGGGAATTATTCGCGGCAAGTTTCATCCACTAACTAGTGACGGTCGCCCTAGATTTTCTTATTCTTTCATTATTTTACACATTTTATGGCGACTTTGGTTTTTTTTTTCCATTGAAACTGTGGCTATAGGGACTGGAGATATACGCCGCATGATCCCTTGGGATTGCCTGAGAGATTTCTGGCTCAAAAAAAAACCACTTTGCAAACCCCCCCAAACTTGTGCCGTGTCCGCTGGGTCGTTACGACGTACAACGGTGGAACATTCACGGAGCAGGAAAACGCAGTGGCGAAGCAAATGGGAAGCGCTGTGGAATAACACGACTTGTGGTGACGTTGAGGAGACCTCCACCACGGAGGGTGTCTGGCCCTGCTGGGATTGGACTAATGTCAATGTTGACCGCCGATCTCACCCTCGCCGCTGGCTTAACATTCAGCGCATTGTGGCAGGTGAGTAAACGCGAATGGTTGCGCATCGGCAGTGATTTTCAATGCAGTAAAACAGTGCAATTGCCCTTTAAAATTGGGAAATTATTTTAAATTATTCTGTCAAATGTTTCGTTGATACGAGTTTGTCGGTACATTAAATGTCCTGCTGCTCTTTTTATTGTTACGTATGGAGTTTTGCTCTTTGTGCTTTAGCTCACTTTGAATTCCCTTAATACCCGCCAATTCTACACCAGCAGCTGTTTGCAAATAATAACCATAACCATTATTTTTTATGATTATCAGCCATGCTCCATCCACTGCTGGATGAAGGCCTCCGCACACCATGGCCATGACCCATGGTCTCGCGATTCACAGAGCCATCGGGCACCTGTGCATGAGCCAATTTCATTGCTCCATCTCCACGGTTAGGAGGGCACTGCGAGCTATGGCACTTTTAAATCCAGTTTGAAAACGGAATTTCGTTCGAACTGCTTTCTCTGTTTTAGTGTGTTGTCCTTCCCCCCCCCCGCACCTCTTAATAGCGCAGTTGGCTACGTACGGTGCGAAATACGTTCAACATTCGGTTGACATACCTCTGAGGGATGTATCCTCTTTAGGCTGCCACTCCATCATTAGTCTCGATCACCTGACCATCATGACTTGTCCTGACCTAGTCCACTTACTGAACAGTGAATACGACCATGAAATAACAACCAGTAGTTTTATGCCCACGTACGTACATATGTTGAACTTCTTTTGCACTGTACGTAGCCAACCATGCTGATCGGAGGTGCTGGGAAAGGACAACAATATGCCGATATTAGATCAATTGTAAATGTTTGTGTTCGGTAAATGTGTATGAAAAGAAACAGTTTAGTCTGAAAACCGCATACTTTTTTTCTTCTTCTTCCATACCACATCCTATTTACCTTTGATTAAGAGCATTGCTAAACACGTGTTTTAATATTATAAAGTGCATCTTGACCCATAATTCAAATGGGCTTAAGTAGACCCCCACATGTCCAGAATCCACAAAAGAGGGTCGGTCAAAAAAAGTGAAAATGAAACAGTCTTTCCACGTGATCATTACAAAAAAACCTCATTCTGATTAGACACCAGTCAAAGGCCCAACATCCTTACCTCCCTCACCATTTCCCATGCTCCCTCCCTTCTCTACACCCGCCCACTCTTGCCAATAAATCAGTCGAGCATAGATTTACTCACCATCACCAGCTCCTCCACATTCCCCTGACTTTCCACCCATCAAAGAAAGAAAAAAATCGGCTGTCCTCCCCAGATGATTATTCTCAAAAGTTGGCAAGGAAACTGACTATTTATCTATCTATGGGCATGTGTCTCTCCATACATTGGCCGATAGTCTGGCCTGACTCCTAATTCTGGGGTACATTATTGCAATGACGCATACTGTTTGCAGTGTAGCCCTCACAACATCGTACAACAACATGCCTCTCCTAACAAGGTGAATGCCGCGCATTTAAGAGCCTTTAAATATGATTATTATTTTTACAAAAACATATTATACTTCGTGATTAATTACCAAACGGCGGACCTACAGACCTAGCACCCTCCGAGGAAGCCACTTTTTCACGTATTTGCTTATCTTTACACTCGTATACAAATTAACCCACGGCTCAATTTCACCATTCAATGGCTTTGGGTGAAAACGTAAAAATGCACCAAGCACGGTAACAGGGAGTAGAGTTGAGGCAACATTGTCAGTGGATATATATTACAGCTGTGGGCATTGCTAATGAAAATTATACTTTAATAATTATTGTGCATACCAAATAGTGTGTGCGTTTGTAGACATATATGAGGTTCGCACAGCTAAAGCATTCGGAAACACATGAGTTGATTTTTTATGCTAATTGCTTTCCCTCTGTAATTAACCATATCAGAATCGTTATTTATACTGGTGGAATCCGATGAGTTATACATCTCTGTTTCACAGATGTCCGGTAGGAGTGCGTCAAAAAGTTACAACAACAAAAACAATACAAAACATGATAGGAGTGAAAAGTAGAGGAAAGGTCACCAAATCACAAAAACGTGTTTTTGTATTGTCCTCAACAAAAGCTCACTGATCTATTAGATTATTTATCAGAAGCAACCTGGTCACGAATGATAGCTCAACGAAGTGGCTTATCACGTGCAAATTTATAGTAGCCAAATAATCTAAGTAATCCAAACGCATATTTATAAATGTGGAGAGAGAAAACCAGAGGACCCGGATAAAAAATAATCCACGCGACCACAGGGAGAACATGCAAACTCCAAATATACAGGCGTTCGGGTCAGGGTAAAACCCCCAGCCTCCTGCGTACCAAGCAAGGAAGATAATGTTACGTCACCGTGGCGCCCCGTAAATAAATAAATAAATATCAAGAGTATAGAAGTTCAAATTGCATCGAGAGAAGATTGGTGCCGTGGCTGCATACGATGTACAACACTGAGTCATTATCAACGTGTTCATTTACATTCATATACAGAAAACAACATGTTCTACCTAAAATACACTTTTTTTTTGCTTTGAAAATATTATCTTTTTTGCCAAAGGCCGACCAGTTTTAAAGTCAAAATCTTATAAATAGTTGTGACAACTTGTTCCGTGATTCATTAACAACTATAAATGTATATTTATTCTTCATAAGCGGTTTGGCTGGTGTTGAGGGTGTGTGCAGGTGCGTCACAACGTGATATCTCGAGCCCGCACCTAGCTTCGATGAAAATAAATAAATATATTTACGTATCATGTGTCATCATCATCATCCATGATCAATCTACGGCTGGATTAAGGCCTCTCTAAGCCATCGTCATCGATCTCTCATGGCCTTGGCAACACGACAATCCATCTATGAACTGCACACGAGCCAATCTCATCGCTTCATCTGCCGGGTAGACGTAACCTCCGTGCAAATGTTTCCCCCACCTTTGGATGCCACCCCATTGTTAGTCTCGACCACCGGCCCGTCACTCCTTCTCGCGGCTGTGCCCCTGCCCCTCTCCCGTTGACGTTTCGTGACGGTCGATATGACGTCTCTAACCCGAGTGCGTGCCCTAATACACGTGTACGTCCTTCCTGTTTTTTTCATTAAAATTCCAAGCATGCACGTCTGCGTGGTGCGCCTGTACAAAGCTGTGTTGTGTGGCGCTAAACTGAGACTGCCCACTCTGTGTTGTCCTCTGTTCCTTTCCAGGGCAACGCACGGCTTTCGTTACGTGATGCGTGCGTGCGTTTCATTTGCTATGTAATGGATACGCCCTGACGTTGATGAACCTTTATTTGGCTAAATGTAAAGCTTAAATGTAAAATATAGAAAATAAAACTCTAAAAATTCTCCGACAGATGATTCAGCCAGAGGCAAAGTGATACTCCCATAGGCTTTCCGAAGCAGCCGCTGTCTGCTCTCATAATGTGGCAATAAGCCTCAAAAGTTTTGTCATCGGTCATGTTCGGTGATATTAATGACCTCAAACGCGGTGAAAATCGTTCACCTGCACCTTCACTCTCAGCGATGTGAAGCACACTGATGAATGAACAATTTCTGCACAGCAGCTTGGTTAGAGTAATTATTAATGGCATTGTTGTGCAGTGGTGCTAGACGTATGTGCTGTTGTGACAAGGCATGCAGATTATTCTCTTGTGCTGGGGGGGGGGAGGGGGGAACAAACATGCATTACAAAACATATTATGAACGCATTTATTCACACCAACGTGTAATATACACACACGTGTACGCGGAGTATAAATAACACCAATGCACACATGTAAAATACATCACTCAGTAGATTGCTGCATGAGAGTGAGTACACCCAGCATGCATGCTGTGATAAGGGCAAGATCTTAACGTCTAATGCAAACCCGCATTCAAATTCACCTTAATACTCAATTACTGCAAGTGCAATCGTACAGCGGTACCAGCTGGACTGCCGCTGTGCAATCATTCAGCGATGCAGTACTTAGCTGCATGTGATGCATGCTCCAGTACCGCAAAAAAGCACGACGTTGAAATAAGCCAATTATTGTTTTTATTAAAAAAAAAACCCTTGATGGGGCATTCCTATTGGGAGACGCGGTTTTTTTTTGCAGTGAATAATTGAGTGTGCCGAAAAAAACAACAATTATGAACAGCCTTGGCTATCCAACCTTTGAGCCGCGTTAAAGCCTTGGCTTTTCATCGTTCAAGAAGTTTCAAAAGACAAATAAAACGAAATATTGATGAGTCTACATTTTAAAACGTAGGTACAAATGCGCACGACTCTTCACAAACGGACGTGCCCGTGTCTCGCCACTGTTTTAGAGATATTTTTTTTCCGGCAGCTGAAACGTGGAAATCTGCAGAATGCGACTAAAATATGTAAATCTGCATAAAAGGGGGGCAGCCATAATCAATGGTGTTTATAGGGTCGAATGGTTCGTCATTCGCTGTCATTGCCGTCGATAATGCGAATGGTGCAGCCGATGGTTTATGAAGTCCCCTCTTGGGAATCAAGACTGCAGGCCCCTATCCAACCTTTGAGCCGCGTTAAAGCCGAACGGTTCAGATATTCCCGATGGGCCAGAGTCGCCGTTGCGACTGAACGTGTCAGTGACGAGAGTAAACCTGCGTTCATTGGTGCATCTGTGCGCAACTTATCAGTCAGCGGTCGTAACAGCGACTCTGTCGACAATGCCCGGGTGTTGTCGAAGTGAGCATCTGCACCGTCTATTTAGGCAACGTAAATTCCAGATTTTGATTACGCAAACACGAGCGTATATGCAAAGCTCTTCTTTGATACAATTACAGTGGGAATTCCTTTGTATACAAATCAGTCTATGGTATTTAAGACTGCGCCGTGCATTATTTTCCCGAGCCGTGTTGTTTTTGAAATAAATATGTAGCGAAAAATATATTTTACGTGTTTCTATTTCAGTGTACTTTCATCTAAGATGTGTCTGGAATATCAGTCTGCCCTGACTTGTAAGAAAGCGGTGTCTTAAAACTGCCCGCAGTTATATTACCCGGTGCAATTTATTGGGTGCAAAAGCCAAAAAAAAGGGCTAGATTGACAATTCAATTTAAATATTTCATTAAAATATACTCTCCAGCCCACGAACTGCAATCATAGCTAATGTTGAAAGGGTGAAGGGAGGGAGGGAGGGAGGGGAAAACGAGAAAAAATGGTCGAGTAAATTGCCTCTGCTCCTCCCCTATTTGTATGCAGTTGACGCTGTATGGAATTGAATGAGCACGGCAGCTGTTAGACTTGTGCCGTAATCCTGGGAAATCTGAGCAGCGCGCGCGCGCGTGCCGCACTGACCCCCTCGATGAATTATGTATGATACGTGGGGGGGGGGGGAGAAGCAGAAGAGGAGGGGCAGGCGGGGAGAGGGAGGATAGGGGCTTGGGGGGAGGTGGGGGTGTTGGAATGATGGTACGTGTGTGGGAGGTGGAATTTGGGGGGCTCGTGGGAGGTGCCGGGGGTTGGGGGGGGGGGGTGCTGGGCCGGGCAACCGCGGAGACTCAGATGGATGAGGAGTAAAGTAACGACCATCCGCTGGTTTCCAGGGGAATGACCGGTGTCAAAAAGGCAAAGCCCCCTTCGTTCTGGTCAGAGGCCCACCCGCATTCAAACTTTGCCCCCCACCCCACGCGCACCTCCTTTTTCTCCCAGAAGCCATCTCTCCCGCCTCCTCCTCCTCCTGCTCCCACCCTTAGCCACCCTTCATCCCCCCCCCCCCATCTCACCGTCAAAAGCAACCGACCCCAGAATTCCACCTCCTGTCTGCCCGAACGCACAAACCACCCTCCGTCTTCTTCCCATGACGTCATCACACCCGCCGTCACATAATCACCCCCCCCTCCTCCCTACGCACACTTCTCCCCCCCCCCCCACCAAATCTGTGTCTCGCTGACTTAATGTCCTCCAAAATGTCTTGCTCTGCCTTCATCTCCCTCGAATTATTTCGCTCCCCCCCCCCACCTCTATCCCTGCCAGCTTTCATCCCCCCGGCGCGGCCAGCCGCCCACGCCCCACCGCCTCCCACCTCTCTCGCCTCGTCAACCAACACCAATCCACCTTATCCTCACACAACGGTGGTGCAAGCCACAGGCACCACCCCATCGGACCACGACGCTCGGTGCAACGCTGATTAACGCACCGTCCCCATCCCCGTTAATTAGAGCAGCGTCCGGGCATGACCAGCTCTCAGTAGACCAGCCCATCCATTAACCCTTTAAAGTATTACACTCAATTCATCAAGCCCGGCCGGTTCGGTATCGTTAAAGTCCCTCGCTCAGGAGTTGCACCTTCGGCTCGGGTGATGAATATTCATTGGGGTTTTATGAGTTATATTCAAATCTGTGTAGAGCATTGAACTTCCTCTGCCCTCTTGCATCTGCGGGGGATTCTCGAACATTTTCACCGCAAAAGTCACCCCGGAACAAAACATGCCGGAGGTAGAGAGAAGATCCACGATTAATAATGATAATTCGTTCATTTTGGTGTCGGATTTGTGTTGTTGTTGTTTGCAGCTCACGCACATCGAGAACATGTGCCAAAAAAAACAACAACAGATTCTGGCATGCGGAATAGGCGGAGACCACTTTTTGTATTGTAATTAAATCAGACATTTTGTGAGCTTGTTTGTGTCTACGGTAGTTGGATCACCCCGTTAAGTGTGTTAGTGTAGAGGCCTCACAGCAGGGACAGTATGACATTCACATCTAGTCACGTTCAAATGCAGTGTAAATATGCACAAGCACAAACTTCACGAAAGTCATTGTTCAAATTAAGCAAAGGGACGACGTAGCACAGGTTTTCCTCGGAGTAAAATATGCGCAGACACAGTTCGTGTGAAGGAAAAGCAACGTTGGACTTTTATCTAGCAAAATGTGTGCGCCCCCCCCCCCCCCCCCACCATGTATATGTCGGCCTTAAACAATGCCCACCTTTGCATATAATTATTTTACAGTATTTGAGTCGTATTTATCTATGTAAAAAAAAAGATCAATGGATGGAGAACTCTCCATAGTCCGGCCGAATGCTGCCGCAGTTGTTGCGACAGTTGCTCACACAACAAACTGTTGTTGCTTCAACAGCTGTGTGCACGTTCGATTTACCCACGATTTTTTGTTACTTTGCTGAATTTAAAGTGACTATAACTACCTCGATTATTTGCGTTGGCAAAAAACTCATCTTCTGCTTGTACTTCTGTGTGTGTTACATTTCCTTCGCACCGCACGTGACCAACCGCGACCAATGGGAGGTGCGAAAACAAACTCATCACAAGGTGAGAGAAACGAATTTTGTCAACTCCGTTTAATAGAAATGTCGTCTTAGCTGTCTTCGTTCAAGTGTTTGCAAAATTAAATTTTCCATTGATGTTAGGTAGCAATACAGCCATATCTATCATAAATAATGGTAGTTTTGTCATTTTTGCACCGTATATCAGGGGCCGTCCATAAATGACGTCACGCGATTTTGGACGATTTTTTACCCCCCCCCCCCCCCCGTAAACACGGCGTCACAAAAAGTCAGATCCCCCCCTCAATATGACGTCACAAAGCTCTGCCCCCCCCAAAAAAAAAATATAAAACATGCTTCAAATCGCTTTAAACTATTGTCATTGTAGTGTGTATTTAATGTGGCGCTGCACTCTGATGTTGTAGGAGAAAACATTTGTTAAAAAAAGTCTATTTAATTAAGTAGAACGTTTCGATTTAAAGCTTTCGTGACTGCAGGGATTCATATTCTTGGTTCTTTCGGTAAAGTCACGTAGAAGGGAAATAATAAAATAATAAAAATAAAACAATAAAATTATCACGACGTTTCGATTGCAACACAAGCAATCATCATCAGGTGTGAAAACCACACCAAGAAAATTCTAATTTTAGTATTTTATTATTTCCCTTCTAAGTGACTTTACCGAAATAACCAAGAATATAAGTAAAACGTGTTGTCTATTTATATTTAAAGTTGCGCATTTTGATGTGACGTCACATTCCTCACCCCCCCCCCCCCTCGTCACACATCGTCACAAATGTCTGACCTCCCCCCCACCCTAGGTGCGTGACGTAATTTATGGACGGCCCCTTACTGCGCGGGTTTTCATGGCTGTGCTGTACAACTCTCTGACGTGTTTGTGGGGCGTACCGGGTATTCTTTGGCATTATACAGGAACTTTGGTGAATAAGGAAACTACATCAAAACTGACAAGCAGGTCATCTGGGGACAGGGAAATACCCTTGATTGTCAATACCAGGTGAGTAGAATTTTGTACCGCAGAGGTGGTTTTTCCAGTGAAAGGCCGCAGGATTTCAGACAGAAAACGAGCTAGTTTGTAGGTGGGGGAGTTGATAGTAGAGACGATGGGACGAAGGGGTGTATCTACTTTATGTATTTTTGGTAAGCCGTATAATCTTGGTGGCCTGACATGTCTCGGACCGGATTCGTGAACACAAAGCAGACGTAAAACACGGTAGATCACTTATAATTCAGTAGGCTCACATGACCTTGACTTCTCCAAGACAGAGGTTCTTTGCAAGCCATCTGGCTACCATGAGAGATTCGTTCATGAGGCTATCCACATATACACACACAGAGACAATTTCAACCGAGAAGATGGATTCTGGCTTAGCAATCATTGGAAGGATTTGATAAACCATTTAGGGTCTTAATTGATTGTTCACGCTTACGGTGGCTTTCAGACCGCATGCATTATTTCCGTCTCCCCCTTCCTCTTTTCCGAACATAGATGGACTCGTCCATCTGAAAAAAACTGTCAAATCGCTCTCCGTGGTGCTAACGTTAAAAATAACCGCCACTTTTTTCAAAATTTCTTGCCGTGGTTTTCACACCTGATGATGATTGCTTGTGTTGCAGTCGAAACGTCGTGATAATTTTATTGTTTTATTTTTATTATTTAATTGTTTTCCTTCTACGTGACTTTACCGAAAGAACCAAAAATATTAATCCCTGCAGTCACGAAAGCTTTAAATCAAAATTGAAAGTAATATTTATTATTTAATTTACTCTTCACTGTCAATGTTTACGGTATTGTCACTGAAGTTGCAAAGGTGATAATAATGATAAAATATCGAATTAGCAAAATCAACCCCTGTGAATTAGTGTTAATAGCAGTGAAAGTTAATTATCCTAAATGTTAACATATAGAAAGCATCCAGCTCATTCGTCAATGGCATTCTCAGATTAATATGAAATGCTTGAAATTATCGGGATGTGAAAAGATCGTAGAATCTATTACCTTTTCAATGCAGCGCTCCCATCACTTAATGTCAATCGACGCCTTCGGTTTAACTTTCAGAATCTTTATTCTGGAGAAATCCAATGAGCTATGAAGCTGTTCTTCAGAGATGTCCAGGAGGGGCGGATAAGAACGTTACAACAACAGACGATACAAAAAACACGATAGGAGCGCAAAGCATGGGAAAGGTAAACGTATCACTGGAATACATACGTAAGATATATAAAAGTCTATTCGTTCAACTTTTGCAATTCATCCAGCAAACAATTGACTGAAAATTATTTGTGTTATTACTTTTATATACATCGTTGTCACAGAGGTTTCCTATCCCTTGTAGTATCCAGGTTCAACTTAGCTTAGCTTCTGAGATGTGATGAGATACGGAGCATGCTGGGTGATTTGGTTATCGACTACAGATAAAGTTGTGGTTACAAAAGACCACAGTGCAACAATATTTACTTTTCTCTCACTTCTATGTACACAGCCTTCAACAAACCTCAGTGTGGTGAAGTATGGTCAAATAACCCCAAATGACACGCACGACGAAGGGAATGCCGCATCTAGTCGTGGATTTACACAAGGGCTGTGCACATACATACATACATTATACAGGAGCAGTGGTGCAGTGATTAATGCACTGCGATGTGAACTCTAATGACGCCGATTTGATTCCTGGCCACGGGCTAACGTCGGTGGCGAGTGATATCTGAACCAGTCCTGGGCCCCTTCACAGCCCGGGAATGACCAGCGTGAGAAACTGTGGTCCAACAACCCCCATTACTGACTCGACGTCCCAAGGTTGTATGACGCCCGATTGTTAAAGGACGTAATGCATTGGTGAGGACATCCACGAAGGAGATGGAGGAATGAAATAAGCTTGGGTGCGGGAACGGTGTCGGGTGGATATTGCATCATGAATTGCGATAGATGTGGGAGGGCCTTTAACCATCAGTGGATTGGTCAAGGCTGATGATGACGATGATAATAATAATACAGGAAATACAGCTCTTAATGATGCCAATGTGAGGTTTCCCTTAACAATTTATAATCCATTAGATTGCTTTAAAAGTTTTTGACCTGCGATATCAAATAAACTCCACTTTAAATAGAACATTGTACATTCCACATATGAATATAAACCTACGTACAGTATTTCATATTTATTTCACGGAATAAATGCATTTTTTAAATTTAAAGTTGATATTTTTATTCTGTGAAAAATGTACTTTATATTTCACACGCGATTAATGATTTAAAGCATTTTTTTGGTTCAATCTCACTACCCTTCAGAATTCTCTCCTATTTTGTAAATTGGAAAACATTTGCCCGGGGTCATTTCGATGGCAGAGTATCACCTTTGAGATTGAAATCCGCGAGACCAAAAATGTCACGAACGCTTCCGTTCGCGAATGCACTGGACGTAGCCGTCTCTGTCAGGGGGTGCTTCTGACGATGGGCCCATAATCAGCGGTAGACGGACGCTGGAGTAAATAAACTTCCAGGCAAAATTATGCATCAAGATGCAGGGCGGAATTGAATGACAGTAACCATGATAGCTATCACTTTGCAAGGACAATAGCGTCGGCAGGTTTGTGTCGGTGACAGGTTTTTGTGTGCGCTGCAAGTTCCACAATTTGCGAAACGCGCTTTGGTTTGTTAGCCGCGATGAGACCTCCCTTCTGACCAGCTGAGTCATTTTCACAGCTTATTGTCAAGCTGGATGACTAATGAAAGTAATCAAATAAATGTAACATGTTTTTTTGCATTACCAGCAACCCGTGCATTTTACAATTCTTCACGGCGTTCTTTGTTACTTTTGTCGAGAGGGTGTGGCCCTGTGAGACATCCTAATCACTGTGCTTTTTTTTGCAGGCTCCGTTCACCTTGTAGAAGACTAATGGCCGTGATCACCAATCAACGCCATGCGGCGCGGGGTGGACACGGCAGTAGACAACACTTCCACGGGAGGCGACCTTCATTCTCCCAGATTGCATTTGAGAAATGTCCTTCTTTAAATTACACAATTACAGGCAGGCACGCAACGGCGCATTTATGCATTGACTGAAATAAGATTCCGACGCTCGCGACACCACACATGCGTCACATTGAATTGTGCTGCTTGAGAATCGATCTTTCGCGATTCATGCAAATATCATGCAAACGATATGCTAATGTCACATTTAAGCTAATGGAGCGAGCAAAACTACACCAGCGAGATGGGGCGGGGGGGGGGGGGGAATTGGAAGCAACGCCAAATGAGATGGCGATAACAAGACAATACAACGCGGAAAAATTATGACGTCCTGAATCGAATCACGGTGCCAAAATGGGGACAATTTATACAATTGCTTTGTCGGGGGGTGGGGTACATGCAGAATCACAGCAGTACGAGCACTGAAACCCACTTGCATTGGCATCATCAGCCCGTGTGCTGACGACAAGAATTGTGGATAAGTCTTCCTGTTTTTGATCTTAAATAGGGTAAGGTCATGTCACCACTGTGAGCCTAACAAGTGCGAAACACCCAGGGAGGTTAATGCATTCAACACAATACTGACAATCGCCTGATGATACTGATTTTATTAACGAACGAAACGTCGTACACAAAATTGTAAATGTTGTGGGATCGCTCTCTAGCATTGACATGATCTAACCCAAAAAACGTTATCATGACCAATAATAATGGTCGCGAAAGTCTTCATCTTTAGTTGACGCCATGCTTTACGGAAATAGCCCCGAACCGAACTCGACTCCTCTTTGTTCCGAAATTATCTTGGCACCCAGCCACACCCATCTCACCTTATTCTGCCCTCGTGATTTTTATGATTTATAGGATTATAGGAATATGGGGTACAATAATATGGGATTATTATAGATAGTTCAACCTTGTATTCGAGTGGCAGCAGCTCATGACAAAAATCCCTACTCCAGGGCTAGTCTAGCAAGAAATTAGCGCCGTATTCCTATTGCCGAAAACTTAGAGCTCGCTGGTTCTCACCAGCGACACCCTACTTCATATATTTTCTAAGAGACAAATTCAGTTCCACCCTACATCCTTTGCTCGGAGCCTAAACGAGAATTGCCACTCTCTCTCTTTCCGAGTAATTTTGAACCAAATAAAACCACCCACGTTTGGGACTGCCTCTGCACTTATCCCAGCATAACTCTGTCGGCTAATCTATTCGGATCTATGTAATTACACGGCTGTGCCATTAAAGTCTGGCTTGTCCCTAAAAATAAAAAAAACACCCAACATATATATACACACACACAGGACTTATAAGATAGCTCTGAGTGGTTCTATGTAAACATTGAAAATATGTATGGTCACACTCAGTACCATCTTCTCACAGCCTCGCCTTCCCTCTCATTCCCCAGCACAGGGCACACAAGAAGATGAAATCCGGACGCAAGTTTTGATATTTCACGGTGGACTTAAATTGTTGCAATCGTGATTTTGCTCGCACCATACTGTATGTAACGGGCAAGCAATGACGCGCATGTGTTGTGTGTGAAAAAAAGTATCAAATATTCTCACCCACGTGAAGAGGTCATCCTTCTTAGCAACGCACTATCTCGTCAGTTTGTAACGTTCGTAGACGTTTTCGCCGTGTGTGCCTCTATTAAAGTGTTTTTTTTCTTTCAGGAATTTGCCGTGGCTTCTTGCCTCCGTGGCCAAGCCTGCTGGCTCGAACCCCAAAGGCTCCGCTCGCTGTCTACCCGTGCCCTGTTAGGGGTGCGCGCCGTTGTGTTGGGTACAAAACGCCCCAATTCCAATCGGCTCCAGATTGGGAGATAACTCAGTACATTCAAGAACCTGCCGAGACCACCAAGGGAATTTTAATGCCACCCATGGAGTTTATGTTCTTCGAGCTATATGCTGCAACCAATTTTAATGTCAGCATTCAGCTAACAGTGGTGAGTGCTAACATGTTTGAGCGATGCATGGATGTTGCGTAAGGGTACGCAATGGTTGTCCCTTTAATTAATGGGACTGTAGCTAGGTTGAAATCAGCCGTGGCTTACATCAGCGGGGAGTGATATCTTAACCTGTCCTTGGCGTCTCCTCTTCGCCAACCTGCACTGACCGGCATGAAGTATGGACCAATAGCCCCCGTGACCAACAGAGCTTTGGTCCAGTAAGGGGCTGACAAAGGGCTGATATCTTTTTAATGTCTTTTATTTAAATTTCGATTTAAAGCTTTCGTGACTGCAGGGATTCATCTTCTTGGTTCTTTCGGTAAAGTCACGTAGAAGGGAAATAAAAAAAATTTCTTTTGACCATAATGAATGTATATATATAGCGATGGAGTGGGTGTGACGAGTTTTGGCTTTGTGAAACCACCCCAAACGTTGAGCTGTAATTATTGGACAATGTTGCAGTACGTACATGATGCACACGAACATCGCCATCGTCATCGTCAAGAGCTATGATCAATGCACTGCTAAATGGAGGCATCCCCATGTTATTCCCATACCACACGGTCTGGTGATGCCACTTCTGCGCAGGAGCTGGTCTCCTTGCTCCATCTCCACGATGGTGGAGACCTTTGGCGCGCTGTGCTTTGGCTGCCATTCTGTCACGAGTCAATTGGCCAGCATCCTCTCGGGCGACACGATGACATCCCATTTGCATTTGTGCTCAAATAAATGCATTTCTCTTCCTCTCCCCTTAGTGTATATCCAATCTCTCCGTGCACTTTTCAGTTTTGTGCGTTAAGTCCACATTCCCTATTGGGGGAAAAAAAAATCTCTCCTTTTTGCATGCATTAGTTGCTTTTGATGATCAAATTACATTTTCAAAAAATAGCTTGAACCTTGCAAGCGGCCGCCTCGTTATTTAATCGTTTTGATCGTTATCTGTCCTCAAATAATTATTTAAAAAGAGAAGAGGAAAAAAAACCGCTGTCACTTTTACTCAATTTCTACAAAGGGGGATGGGGCGGTGGGGGGTGGCGGGGGGGGGGGGGTAGCATTTACACTCTAATTGAACGAGACCCTTCGAACATCAGGTTTCAAAAATAAAACACTGCGCTTTCTATCACCCCAAGGAAGGTTTTTTTTTTTTTAATAAGCCACTCACTCCCAGCACCATGGGTTTGGCAATCAGAGGTGACGTCCCAATAGCATTACGAGACAGTCCATCTCTTCCAAGCACTTACCCAGAGGGTGTGTTGAATCTCAGGACCTACGTGTTGGTCGTTTAGCATTGTCTGGCAGAGAAGATGCATCTCTATGCAATAAAGGAAATCCTTTTCCCTGGATAACGATCACCCTGGGTTTCCCTGCGCGTCTTGAATGCATGAATATACCCTAATCCTTGAAACACAACCTTCTGTTTATGCCTATAAATGTACCTCGCTGCAGTAAGCGCCGAGCGCTCGTGTTTTACAAAACGAAATTAATTTTATCCGTCTGTTACCATTGCATGTTAATGGTGGCGTTAAACCGTGCGGACGTTATTCTGAAGAGCGGTGGAGCCCAATTGCCTGTTCGTAATCCTCGTCATCTGTCTTTTTTTCCCGAGTCATGTGCACCGCTGTGGAGGAGCGCAATCCGTTTGCCCATTACAGTGTGCCTATGTGTTTATCGCGTGGGTTTAGACAACTCAAATTGTCACAATTACGCACGGTGCGAATGGCCGAAAGCCGCACCGTGCGTCTTAAACAGGATTATGCTCGAGTGGGGTTTGACCGCTGACGATAGAAATCCTGCACGCGTTCAACTAAAACTGAGAAATGTTAGATTCAACTCCAATAGAATAATGCAAAAAAATACGCGTAGGTGTTTGTGGGAGGCCGTGGTGGTGGCTAGGCACGTGGCCTGTAATCCAGCACTGTGGAGCCAACGAGGGTTGGTGGATTACACACACGGGCGTTGTTAAAACCCGCTTCCACGCAGGCTTAAAGGAGGTGACATAACCCCTGGATATACAGGGGGCAGGCAGTACAACAAGAGTGGACTAATCTTCATTTGTTCCATCTGTATGGGATAGAGTGTTGCCCGCTCGCACGCGTGAGACAAGTATTTTTCTAGCAAGCACTTATTAAGTCCAGAGTGGCATGCAAGTGCACGTTGTGGACAGGACCTGCACACCTTGGATGCCTTTGTCTCCCCAGTGTTGATGTTGACCGCACCACCATTCTGGGCACTCAATTGAGGCTAAGTCCACCGCTAGGAGGCCAAGACGAGGTTCAGATACTCATCACTTCTGGTGTCACAAACCATAACAACAACAACTGCCATTCGCCGCGAATTGGCAGAGACGGTGTTTGTGCCAGGCTAGGTTACACACGCAAAGACAACGGTTCCCCATAGCCGTATTGACTGTCGGGCAGAGCACTGTCAAGTGAGAACCTACTGAGACTATAATGGTGCATGACGGGTTTGTGTGGTCAGACAAACACCTCGCCACACCTGTAATCCCAGCACTGACGTATGCACACTTGAATAGGCACCGATTTAAGGCTGAGTCAACTTGGGGGAGGCCAAGGACGGGTTATATAACACTTGCCACCGATGTTATCTATGAAGAGCGAGCAAACTCTGGGCACCGAGTTTGTAGCGCAGTGGAGGTCGCGCGCACAAACACAACGAGGACACCAGTTTGCTCAAATATAAGCGGCGACGTTTGAGGCACTGACACTCGTTCATAGTACTACTGACAAAGCAGCAGCAGCAGCAGCATCAAACAGACATCAGTTACACAACAGCACAAATGAGGTCTTATAACAAGACACTTACAGAAATATGAAAATGATGAAACGAGCTTCACCAAAATAACAACAAAACATTCATATTCATATTCCTCAGCGTGAATACTAAAAATGAAGAGCGTTATACTATTTAACTTGAACCAGCCATACAATGTCCATGGCAGTGCATCTTCAACCTTTATTTATTTATGTAGTTCTCCTTATTCCTGCATGGGGATGGTGGGGGGGGGGCGAGGGTGAGGATTAATTCGGTTTTATTTTTAAAATGTTTTCCGCATGCGACGGAATAATGGCGCTCAACCTTTCACACTCAATTGTGAGCCCGTATATATATTTCTCACATGTTAAAACCCATTTGCCTGGAGGGACGGACAGCACCAAAATGATTGACTTGAATTTATTCACATTACAAGGCTCCATATTTGGCACTTACACGAGCTATGCGAGGCAATATCTCAAAGCTGCGCATTTCGGAGCACACCTTTTATTGACTGTAACATTTTTTTTTTTACACGCTAAGGTAATAGGCTTGAATGCGCGCATTTTCCCGCACTGCGAGGAAGTACAATACAATGTGCACATCACCAGTTTAATTAATGACGCCTGGATTTGTCGAGATGTATGCGGCGTGGGACGTGCTGAGCGTTATCCCAGCGCGTTCATTTCTGCCGATGTGGCTCGTGCCGGGCAGAATGCGATGCTCGTGACGGATTCAATCCCCTCCCTTCCATTCTAAAACAAAAAAAAATCCTCTGAGCTCAACGCTCGCTCCGCCGGATGGACGACTCTGAAACCGCGCCATCATCGTCATCATCGTCGGTCGTCATGAGCCAGTATCTATCCACTGCTGCATGAAGGTCTTCCCACTCCGTCACCGTCTGTTATATGGCTCTGCGATGCGCAACACCTTCGCCCCGTGTCCACAACGGCCGCCCTCTCTCTTGACACGTTGACTCGTTTGGCTGTCGTTCCTAGCACCAGTCTCAACCATTGGTGTTGGTCCCTTCAGGTAATTAGTATGGGTCCTGCGCAGGCCCACTTAGCTACTCGTATCTTTATGTTCATTCGTTCGGAATGAGAATCTCGATACATCCTGGAGCAAAGCTTGTCTGAAAGGCAGCAAACGGCAGCAAAGGTGAGCGTCGGGATGATTGTGATCGTCATTGCTCGTCATGCTCCTGTCCGCGTTCTGTCTCTGAGTGTAGTTCCAAGCAATAAAATCTTCATTTGCAGTACTTTCAAAGTTTTGCTCCACGCAAAAAAAAATAATTACACGCAGGCTTAAATGATCTATCTCACGCGTTGCACCTTCTAACGTTCCTCTCCTGACGCTTCTATCTCTAAAATATATGCATATACATCATGGGCTATTTGCGAGGCCAGCCAAAAAAGTTTTATAATACATGTTGAGTTACATCAGCTTAGAGTTCGGCTGAAATACAACTCCCCATATTAATATGCAAATCACGTAAAGTCACATGAATAATATATTAATACGGGTGACCATATTGAAATATCAAGTGCAGTCGTAACTGTAAATCAGTGCGTACTATCTTGTTTGCATAATGTTTTGACCGTCATATAAATGTCACATTAATCACATTCATCCTCGGTAATTATCTTAATTTTATTTGTCAGGTTTTTTTTTTCCTCGCGACAATAATGAAGCAGTCGTAAGATTATTTTTTTCTTACATTTATATAATAGAGTTAATATATCATCACTGAAAACCCCTATCTTTTGCACTGACATATTCAAATCGATTGACCCATATTCCAAATGGTTACGAAGTTGTTTAATTATGTCGGGCTCCTGTTTTCTAGGTGTCGAATGTTTTGCAATATTCGGCAAACGGGACAGATATTAATTATATGAGCCATTTTTATTGTTGTCATAATGCATTGGCAGTGGTGTACACGCAACAACAACAACACAGCTCAGCACATTCGTCAATAACTCTGTACTAAACGGAAAATACATATAGATATGGAACAAGAGCCATTGCCCCAATGTTGTCTATAGTATGATATAAGTCCTATATCCTTTTATATCCATTGAGGGCAGTGTTATTGTTCCTGAGATTAGGTTATTTTCAAACAGTAATGCCCTCATTGTACTCTCTCCACACCCAGTAACACAATTCTCACAAGTTGCACGTCAGCTTAAATTCAACGTCACTGGGGATGATGCTGTGATGTAATTCTCGCCATGTCGTAACATCCGATAAATATTATTGCCACTTTCATTTTCTATTTTCATTTATGTATGTGTGTGGATACGTAAATGAGTGGACGAGCACGAGCTGTCTTCACACATATGCACAAAGACAAAGATTCCACCCTCCCCCCCTCCCGTATATAGCATTCACGAAAACAAATTGAGCAAAGGGCTGTTAGCGAGCACCTATAAAGACCAGTAGAGCACGAGTGAGTTGTGAGGCCACTGCTACCTTTGTCTCCCCAGTGCTAAGATGTTTTAACCACCGCACTAAGTCCTCATTTAAGGCGGAGTCGACCTAGGAGAGGCCCAGGACTTGTACAGATATTCGCCACTAATCTGGTTCAGGTCATTTCATAGAGCAGGGCCGTAACAACTACACCACCGCTCCCCACAAGGAAGACAACGATCCTCCATATAGCCTTAACAGACTGTTGGGGCAAGTGCTGTTATCGAGCGCCTGTAAAGGCTGGAACAATCACTACCACACATGGCCACCTTTTTCTTCCCGTTTGCAATGTTTACACATCACACCAGGTACTCATTTACACACAACAATTGAAGCAGCGATGCACATGTGTAAGTCTAAATTATCTATAGAATGTTTAAGGTTAAAAGTTATTTCCCAAGTCTCACATAATCCAGAACAAGGAAGCTTTGGGCCAGACTTAGACAACTTTTTGATTAGTGTTTGAAATAATTGCCCAAACTTAAGGAATCCTTACATCAACAGGGGCATAATGACAAAACCGCCTACGATCTCCAAAATTGTTGGAAGTAGCTCTGTCTGGCTTTAGTGCTTATCTTGCAGTCTAAGGAGGGAATGTGTCCAAGATGACAACCGCCGTGGACGGGGAGCAGTTAAATCAGCTGATGTGCAGGTCCCTAGATCAGTGTTCTTCACTTACTTTCAGGGGAGGACACTTTCGCCAATAAGACATCATCGGTGTAAGGGCCGCCACACATTGTGAAACCATTGTTGGGTTTGAC